AATGCAGTTTGCACTTTTATGGTTCACCATAAAGGAGCCAATACGATTTTATAATCGTAACGTAACAGGAAACTGAGATGAACGCTACTGACGCCGTTTTTTTTATTTTATACTACTTAGAATGGCAAACATGGTACCCAGTAAATTTACCTGTAAATATAACCATTCAGATAAAAAAAGAATTTCCCAAATCGGTTTGCAACTGACTGACAGAGTTATGACGTAGCAAACAAAAAATAAACGATTTAGGAGTCTTTTTCTTTATGTAATTGGTTAAAAAATAATACGTTCTAATTTTTTTTTTCTATTATACCACGATGTCACACGATTTTACTATTACAAAATAATAGGAAAATCAAATATACACAATTATATGGAAACGCTTTCATATTTCCGTTCGCCCACCACGCCCACGTTTCACCATACGAGTACAGTCATACCGTCCGTGTGACCAGGGGGTCTACCATGAAATGAAATTCCGAATTTTCCGGCTCAATTTCGTGTTTCTGTTCGTACCGAAATCGACACAATAAATGGAGCTTAACATTTCGTTTGTCATAAATCCTACGATAAAAGTTCAAAGGAACGATATTTTAGCATTTTTAATATTTCTAAACGGTACGTATCATGTAATTTTAGCATCAAATTTTTGTTTCGTTCGGTACCGAAATTTCGGAAAACGTTTCATGGTAGGCCCTCAGAATATATTGATTGACCACAATTAAAAAGTAGCTTATATAAAGATGTATATAGGACAGAAAGGGTTCCGTCCCAAACACTACGTGTGTACCAAATTTCATGACCCTCTGATGAGTGGTTAGGGCGCAAAGTAACTGAAATTAAAAATATATATATATGTAATTGAAAATAAACTTTATCCGTTGTAAAGAAAATTATCGAATCTATTAAATATTGCTTTAAAATTTACAAAGACAAAACATCATTTAAAAAATAATTACCTATAGAAATTAAAACTGTTGTGTATCAAACAGTACCCCATTCATTTAGTTTTATATATATATATATATATATATATATATATATATATATATTGTTACAATATATTTATAAAGGTTTTTATTTAGATATATATTATTACAATATCTAAATAAAAACCTTTATAAATCTTTATAAATTAACAAACTAATTATTCACCAAGTTGAATTCAAACATTATTTAAATTAAAGAAAAAAATGTATCCAAATTACTTAATTTCTTCAGTACAAGTAATTAAAAATGTCACGAGTTGCTTTTAATCATACTATATTTAGATGCAATAAGTATGATAGAGCAACTTCCGTACATAAAATATTTGAAAGAAAAACTTGGCCACTTTAATGATAGGCAAGCATAAACAACACAATTAAGTTTCATATAATCACCTCAATTACTCTGTACTCGATATAGAATGCTCTGTGAACATGTGGAGGAGTCACTCAGGTCTCCCAGAGACACGACCAAAAAATAAAACCATGCGTGGATTATATGGTAATGACTAATACCTAGTTAATTTCTTTATTTGTATTACAGAAGGATTACAACTATAGGTACTATCTTTATAATTAAATATACCTAGAATAAATCAATTATAACCTACCACATATGTGTACAAAATTATTTTTATTATATAATTCTATCTGTCTACGAGTGTTCTATCCATTCCGTCCACAATGATCCACTGCTAAGCTCATCCACTACTTCTTTTCTATCCGCACTATGTTATTCGACCATACGCTGAGATCTACTAACTATTCTCTGTCCTAACTAATTAAATTATTTCCTCTCTAACTACACTGGGTTGGCTGGAAGAGATCTCTTTCAGAGATAAGCCCTCCCTTGCTAACAAGTTGTTAAACCAATCGTCGCATATATTGTTTAAGTGCAATAAAGGATATAAATAAAATTATAACAGTTTCTCGCATACGTTATAACAGTTGCTACCGTTAAAAATATCAATATTAATTCTCTTTATAATATCATTATTTATTTCATTATTAGAGCTTTAAATGCTAATAATGAACTAGTTAACAATTGATTCCGCAATATATTTAATAGATAAATATTGAAATTTAAACATATCAACGTCCAAAAGATTAGCTAGTTTTTAAATAATATCATAGTGATAAAATCATTATATTACCTTTATAACCAGTTATTATGAGAATTATTTAATACACGTGTATTTATAAATGAATAAACATTACGATTTTGTCACTAAAACGATCCTGTAAGCGATTTAAGCGCCATCTAAAAGTTTATGTATTAATAAAATTCTCACACAAACGTTATGTTAGAATAAAAATGGTATAAAATCTTTTTTTTTTTTTTTAGTTTATTTAAATAATTTACTTTGTTTAATTTTTTTCTATATTTGCAGTTTATTTATGAATGACGAAAGAAATATTTCTGTTACATTGTCAAGTTTCTTTATCATTAATATGTCATTAATCTTAATATAATCTATTATTTTATTGATATTAATTCTATTTTTATTTTTTATTATTATTATTTTGTTATTGTTATAAAATTGTTATATTCTTTTCTTGATATTTATTGTTATTATTTTTTTTTTGCAAAATATTAAATAACTTTTAAAGGAACACGTGAAATAATTTTGAAGTTTAAATTTTTTGCCGTCGGCGCCGCGGAGCCTCGTCGCGTATGCTTAAGTCTGCTTCTGGAAAAAACAAACTTGTGAATCGACTAAAATTACAAAAGCAATTCCTTTGCATAATTTTCAGTCAACACCTATTAAGATATATCAAATGTTTATTACCCATTATTCAAATTTGCGTTATAATTTTGTTACTAATTTAAAAATATATATAATATATAATTACGTCTTACTTATAGCGTTAAAATAAAACGCTAACACTAACTTTTCTCGATACAAACATTTCTGTATCGACACAATTAAAATTAGCTTAATAAATATATTTATGATATCAAGTTAAAAAATCGATTTAATATTTATTTTTATTATTTATTATTAGATATTAAATGTTTTTCACGTCGATAATTTCTCAATTATTGATTTATAACTCATAATGTTTCTTTTTTAATTAAATTGATTTGAAAATGTAAATATTAAACTAATACGGTCCCGGATTTTCTCAATAATTGATATGTATTTAATCACCCTATAAATATTTGTTTTATTTAAACTGAAAAGTAAATAAATTAGAATTAAAATCTGTAACGCGGTAACTACATGAAATTTGTAGCGACGGCCGTAGGCGCGCTACGAGCGCGACTACGCGGATCGCTACCCCATAGCCTACACTGCGTAGCGAAACACAGTTTTTTTTTTTGCTACGACATCGTAACATATGTTTTAATATTAAAAAGTACTTTAGCAATAATAAACATAGTCATTTTTTATTTGAGTAATTTACTACTATTTTTAAAAAATATATTTTTTTAAATTGTTTCCAACAAGACATTAAGTTTTATTTCTTTTTTTTTTCTTTAATATTATTAATTCAACAATTTTTATTAAACTGACAGAAAAACATGTATAAAAAAATAAGTATAAAAACTGTAACACCATTTAAGAAATTTTAACACTTTTCAAATTGTATTGAACTTGTATTGAACACTTATTAAATAAATTTTTTCCAGGAGCAATCGTTTATTCTAATTTAACCGTAATTCCGTATATTTTATTAGCCAAAAACATTGTTCGTTCAGCAGCCGACACCGAAATATTTGTACGTACATCCCACGACCCCTCCAGTGAGCCATTATGAAATTATTAATTATTTGTTTCCCTAAAGTTTTTATTAATTTAATTTTCAAAATGGGATCGTTTTATGGAACGCTTCATTATTACTAATAGATGTAATAATGATAAATAATTGGTTCTTTCTGTCTAACACTTACAAGTTAATTGTTTTGACAAATCATGTTATGTTGGTGCAATAAAGTGTTAAATAAATAAATAAAATAAGTTACATATATATAACTAAATATATGTCTGTCCGTTTACATTTTACGACTTAAACACTGATCCTATTTTAAAAATTATCAAAATAGTAATTAGGTTATCATTATTTATTAAAGAGAAATTTATGGAAAAATAAATTTTTGAACGTATAAAAAAAATAAAGATAAATACTTTTTATAATAATTAAACTTATAACTGTTTTATATTTTTTAATATTTAAATGTTTATAATTACTTAATTTAATTTAAATTGTGAAATCTTTGTCAATAATTAGATTGAATTAAATTGTTTAATTTTTTCATTTTATTTAATTTATTATAATTGAAAGTATTATAGAATTATTTACAACGTAATTAGTAGTTCTTTATTTAATTATATTTTTAAAAGTAGTAATCTGAACTCGTCTGCCGGATGAGAATAACTTGTACAAATGTAAAACGAGATGAGTCACCCTCGGAATCATTTTAACTGGAACTTTATAATAAAAACATTATAAATATTATTGCTATTATAAAAAAAAAAAAAAAAACTAACAGGTAATAAACATTGTAGAAAAACGGAAAATTATGCTGAGGAATTGTTTTAAATTCGCCAAAACAATAAACAAATTAAACAAAACAATATTAAACAAAAAACCACCATGGAGCTCCACGAAAAAAAACATCGCCACTGCAATCGCCAGCGACACAGTACAAACAATCGCATTGCAGAAGCTTCTGAAAATAAAACGTGATTAGTACATACTAACCCACTACGCTTCAGTCCACGGCCTCTTCACTGCTGTGGTCCGAAGTACTTCGTTTTTCAACTGTTTTCATTGTAGGTTTATTTTAATTTTGTTTATTTCTGGCTTTGTTTAACCGCGTGTATACGTTAGATTGTTATGTAAATTAGTTTGTACGTATATAAACGATGATACGAGATAATGATATATGTTTCATACAATAGTACACCGTGATATATAAACCATATAAAGTACATAGTGGTAAGGTTTCAGTCATAGTACATAATGTAGAGTGGCCGTAGAGTGTTGATTGTAAAGCATAGTACTCACGGATGGATTGGGCACGCACCGCCGCGGGTCGGTGCTACGGTACGTGGGACTGTACCGGCCTGGGAAGCAGCCGGGCGGAGCCATGAGCCCCCCACCGGATTTCATCTTATCCGGGGAGTACATGGCACATGACCCCCAAGGGTCGTCCTCCAACTTCAACACCTTGGAGGGTGAGTGATACTGGCGGTCGAAAATCTTGGCGACTTGTATCGTACTTTCGGGTTTGAATATGCGGCGCGGTGCCGCAACCGTCACGCTCGCCGGGTGATGACCGACTGAGCGGCTCGCGGCGTGACGTCACCGGCCACGCCCTCGCCCCTCCACTTACCCCCGCCCCCAGCCCCCACGGTGTCGTCTCACGCATGTTTACGTCGCGCGCCGCCGGCGAGCTTCACGAATTACTGAATTATTTAATTGGTCCATTCACTTCTCGTGCCTGTTACCTTTTCACGCTTCTAACTCCAAAAAGGTTGACGGTGACGCGATTGGCACTCGCCTAATTATGCCCCCAATCGATACCACCGAACAAATTCACAAGTTTCCGAACGGTAAATTAAGGCTTTTGTTACACGTGCCTTGATAATTACCTGTCTACAGACTTTAACTGGCTCGAGAAATTGCCTTGTATATCAATTTTCATTATTGCCCACAGATAATGCCTTAGTGTTTGTCTCATTGTTTCAAATAGCGCGAATAGTGGTAGTCAGAGATACCTAATTTTTGTTTATGATGGTTGAAAATGGAATGATAACCCCGCCCGCGCTAACGGAATACGCTGACGGAGCACCAGTGAAGGGTGATAGATGAGAATGAAAACAGGCCAGTTAGCCCGTCATGATGAATTCATCAGGAATTAACCATGATAGTTTCCAGGGGGAACCGCGAGGAGGTCAACCTGGTTGGGTATATTGCTAGCAATGGGATTCTCGGTCGCCATTACTAACAATCCCTTTCCCCCTAAAGATACCTAATTAGATACCTATCATTATCTGAGCCATATCTGAACATAGGCCTCCCCATAGACTGCCATAAAAAATCTAACTAGATAAGTTGGAGAGAAAGGGATTATAGGATCTTACAGCCACATTGCTAGCAATTATTAGGTACCTATTATTGGCTATCTATTCCTTATTATAATTTACATTCACTATTACTGTTGGAAAAGCTGTTGGTCTCTCCAATAAATAAATAAATACAACCTAACAAGTCGACCTCCACGCGGTTCCGCCTGGAAACTATCATTGTTAATTCTTAATGAATTCATCAAGATGGGCCAACTAACTTGCTTTCATCTGTATTTATCATCCCTCACTGGTGCCCCGCCAGCATATACTGATAACCCAGGCGGAGTGGGGTTATCATTTCATCTTCACCCATTAAGAACAATTAGCCATGTTTGCGAAAAATAAATAATTCAGCATCGTCAAATATAATTTAAGTTTTTTTCTTTTTAATGGGTGATAATGGTATGGTAACCCCGCCGGCGCTATCGAGATACGCTGGCGGAGCACCAGTGAAGAATGATAGGTGAGGATGAAGCAGGTCAATTGGCCCATCGTGACGAATTCCACAAGAATCGTTCACGATGGTTTCCAGGGGGAACCACGTGGAGGTCGACCTAATAGGGCATATTGCTAGCAATGGGGCTGTCAAACTCCATTGCTGACAATCTTTTTCCCCCCTATAATTTAAGATTGTGTTCAACAAATGTAACTGACTTCAATTGTGGTAAAACCAGTTGTTTTGTTTGGGGGGAAAGGGATTGTTAGTAATGGGGGTCAAATAGCCCTATTAGCACTATACCTTATATAACTGTATAATTAGCGATATACCTTGTCAGCTCTACCTCCATGTGGTTCCCCCTGGAAACCATCGTGGTTAATTCTAGTTTAATTTTAAAAAATGGGCTAACTGACTTGCTTTCATCCTCATCAGTCCTCACTGGTGACCCGCCAGTGTATATCTATAGCACAGACGGGATTAGGTACGGTTTGAAGGGTGGGATATGGCGTGAATTTACTGGGTACAGAGGAATAACACCTGAGTCCTCAGGAATGGCAACGCATGGGGGTATCATGGGTGAAACAGTATACTCTGTTATGTCCATGGTTACTGCTCATGTCTATAGGCGACAGTTACCACTTTCCATCAGGTGGCCCTCAGCTTGTTTACCATTCTAAGATGTATAAAAAAAATACAATTAACACCCTAAAAAAAATTATCTTTTTTTTAATTTAAACTACTGGACTGTTTTTGATAAAATATTTATTTCCGTTTATATCTAATGGAGTTATGAGGTGACAAACATAAAAACAAAATGTGTGCAACCGAATTGAGGTCCTCTTATTATTAAGGTCTTATTGAAAATTTTTTATAATCTTTTAATGGAATAACAAAAATACTGGACAAAAGAAAATTATAACTTGACGTAGGGACGTGTCTGCCGACTAAACGAATCTGAAGCAGATGCCTAAATCGGTAGGGAACCTTTTAGTAAATAACTTAAGTGCTAAGAAATAAGCAATTTCAAATCTTTTAACTAAAGGGTTATATTTGCCCATCTAATTTCGTCTTAATAGCTAGGTAGGATCTACCTTTCTTTTAGCGTACTATTTTCGAAACCTATTCCAAGTATTAGCATCTATTACAAGGATCTTTACTAGATACCGTGACAAATTAAATAAATAAGTTTGCAAAAATAAATCACTAATTAATCAATAATACTACATATTATATGGCCGTGTGGTCCCGGCATAGGATAGGCTACCCCTTCCTTTCCCGAGGGTGGCATAAGACGCGACAAAGAGAGGGCGAGGAACGGGCAGTAGCATCATAAGAGGCGACTAAGGGAGAGCAAGAGATGGGCAGCAGCGTCCCTATTAAAACATCTCCAAAGCCTGCAGTTGCTAATCCACCTGCCTAGCGTGGCAACTACTGGCAAACTCCCCCAAGGGGGAAGGTTATGTACAGCAGTGGACAGTTAAAAGCTGGTATGATGATGACGATTACTATATATTACAGATTCAATATATTTTTCCAAACTTAAACCATAAACAAACCAAACTTGACATTGGACTATTGTAATAGAATGAATTGTAACAGTTGACGAATTGTTATTACTTAATGCCGACAAACGTTATCGTTTTTTGGGAGAATTATTTACAGAATGACATAATTTGAACTCTATTATTAATTAGCACATATATGTATGTATTAAATGTGATGTATCTTGTACCTATTAATAAATTTGCATGCTTTAGAATAGAAGGCGAACATTTGCACTTCACCTAATAGATCAATATCTGTAAAAAACAATGTTCTCGCAAATAAAGAAACCTAAACTAAACCAAGTCTCGTTAACAGACACAATTCAACTTGGATTTAAAAGTACTAAAAAGCTACACTTTCCGTCAACAGTCAGACTGTACAGCCTGACAGCTGATTGACCGCTGACCAATTTTTAGTTGATCACAGTGATGAAGATTTAAATGAGATTGAACATTTACAAATATGCCATACAGTATTTTTTTTTATGGGTGAAAATGGTATGATAACCCCGCCTGCGCTAACGGGATACGCTGGCGGAGCACCAGTGAAGGGTGATAAATGAGAATGAAAACAGGCCAGTTAGCCCATCATGATGAATTCATCAGGAATTAACCATGATAGTTTCCAGGGGGAACCGCGAGGAGGTCGACCTGGTAGCCAAACAGTATTTGATAAATACGTGAAAAGAGTTACTTTTGCAAATTATGTTGAAAAAGAGAAAAAGTCTGCATTTACTTTGGTCCCCAAAGTAGGTCAAAACTTATCTTGGGAACTAAAAGTGCGACTTAGATTATATAGATAGAACCGTTTACTTGGGTACCTCTGTCCCCTTCATGTTTCTACCGTGAAGCAGTTGTGTTTGCATGGCTATGTTTCGGTTTGAAGGGTAGGATATGGCGTGAATTTACAGAGTACAGAGGAATAACACCTGAGTCCTCAGAAATAGCAACGCATGGGGGGTATCATGGGCGAAACAGTATGTTATGTTCATGGTACTGCTCATGTCTATAAACGACGGTTACCACTTTCCATCAGGTGAGTGGTCAGCTTATTTGCCATTCTAAGTTACATAAAAAAAGAACTTTAAAGTCGAGGGACGGGAAGCAGTCTCTATTCGAACATTACTAAAGCAAAACAAAATACCTGCAGTTACCAATCCGTCTGGCAAGGGTAGCAACTACTAGAAAAACCCCCAATAAGGGCAGCTCTATGTTCAAAAGTAGATATTTAAAGGCTGATAGAATGACGATGGAGATCAAATAGCTTTATATTATAGAACCTTTAAATTTTTCAAATCTTTACTTTGATAATTTGAAAATGATTGTCACTTCGCACTTCGGAAAGTATGTAAAGCCATCGCCTAGTAAACCATGCCGGGGCCTTCGTGCATAAGGAAGGCCACCTGGAAACTCTCAACACCAGAGGGCGCCACCTTCAAAGTTAGGCAGATCGTGTCACATGTTAGTACTTATATTCTTACATAAATACCCTAGCGAGGGATAATAGGCAGAGTCAGGGGGAAAGAGATTGTTAGTAATGGGGTCAAATAGCCCTTTACTAGCAATATACCCTGTCAGGTCGACCTCCACGTGGTTTCCCCTGGAAACCATCGTGACTAATTCTAGTTTAATTCGTCAGAATGGGCTAACTGACCTACTTTCATCTTCATCTGTCATCCCTCAATGGTGCCCCGCCAGTGTATACCAATAACGCAGACGGGGTTACCATACCATTATCACCCATTAAAAAAAAATAGGCAGGGTCAAAGTCAGGCCAGTTGGCACTTCGTGCGAATTCACTAGAAATACAATGATGGTTTCTAAGGCAGACCGCATGATGATTGACCTTACAAGGTATATAAGGACCACTAGTCCCGTCACATATCCCATCCTCCCCACAGTGTGTGGGTACTCATGTATCACGGGGTGATGATACGTGATCCGTATGCGCATAATTAGCAAAGATCATAACCCGGGCAACAACGAGAACATGTCAAAACAACCCTTCAGTAATTACCCGGCCGGCCGGCAGATGGCGGAGTTTTAATTTTTCGATTTCGGACGGCTGTGCATTATGCATGACGCTTTTATCGCTCGCTGTGGTTCCTTCGGGACCCCACTGGTTGTGGCGCGATGCAGACGAGCGAGCGGGAACGGGAGCGACAGCGGCTGTAAAAGGCTTCACACATGTTGAATTCGAGTAAACATCGAGTA